AAGACCAAGTGCTCATGACAGCAAGGTCACTCGAGCTGAGTAAATTCAGTCGTCTCAAGTCGAATTAACATCCTAACAATGAAGGCACACAATGTGCTGCCATATTTCCATTTCTGACTTTCTTTACTGATAGCTGCCAAATCATCTAGCGCTGCTTCAAAAACGGGTTCTTTTCAATTCATTGGCCATGCATGAGAGTTTCGTTTTATATCAAAATTGCATGCTACTGAACTGATGTGACCGTATCATTATGTTGATGTTTCCCCATATTCAGATTTCTTTTTAATTAACGTCTGCATTTCTAAAAGCAGAAATCGTTCAGAAATGTAAATTAAAAATGCATGATTTGTATTCATATCATCAATTTGGTTATGAAAAGCTTGTATAACTTTTTCAAGGCTAGGTTTGATTTCAGATTCGTTTTATTTGTGGAAATCATGGCAGCTTAAATGTGAGTGTCTGCAATAGTTTTTAAGTAATGAAATCAATTCATTTTCAAATGGATTTTTTAGGTAAGTTAAATAAAATTATAAATATTATAGTTTTTTTTTTTTTTTGGTCATTTTAATTGTAATTATTAGGTAGTAGTTTTGTTGAAATATTTTTTTCTTAAAACATTTATCAAAAAAAGATTAAACATTTAAACTGTTTGTTCCTTAAAGACTAGTATCAATACATCTAATACATTAAAAAGGGCACCTAAAATGAAAATCTACTTTTGTAAGCTGTTTGGACAGAACTGTCTGTACTGTATATTGTGTCCACTGTCATATTGTAGGGATATAAACCCAACAAGTCTCTTTTATAAAATTTCCTGACGTTAAAATAGGATCCAAATCCCTGTGATTTTGAGTCCCACCACATCGTAGGAGGACACATGGGGACATTTTCTAATTTAACATTTTTTAATATAACATTTTTTCATCATAGCAAATGTCTATTAAGGGAATTTCTATAAATGATTAATCTTGTCAATAGAAAATGCCAAAGTATAGGTGAAATAATTTACACTGTAAAATGCTGAGTTCCACACAATTCCATCAAGTTGTCCCAACACAAATCAATTAAGTTAACATAAATTTAGTTTTTATATCTAAGTTTTTATAAATGTCAGTGGATTGAACATACAACAACATTTACATTTACATTTAGTCATTTAGCAGACGCTTTTATCCAAAGCGACTTACAAATGAGGACAAGGAAGCAATTTGCACAACTAAGAGCAACAATGAATAAGTACTAAAGGCAAGTTTCAGGTCTGTAAAGTCTAAGAAGGGAAGTGTTAGTAGTTTTTTTTTTTTTTTTTGTACAGTTAGTGTGATATTCAAAGAAGCAATTGCAGATTAGGAAGTGAAGTGGAGACTAAATAGTTAAGTTTTTAGTCGTTTCTTGAAAATAGCGAGTGACTCTGCTGTTCTGATGCAGTTAGGGAGTTCATTCCACCAACTGGGCAGATTGAGCGTGAGCGTTCGCGAAAGTGATTTTTTCCCTCTTTGGGATGGAACCACGAGGCGACGTTCATTCACAGAACGCAAGTTTCTGGAGGGCACATAGATCTGCAGAAGTGAGTGCAGATAAGAAGGTGCTAGGCCAGACGTCACTTTGTAGGCAAACATCAGAGTTTTGAATTTGATGCGAGCAGCAACTGGCAGCCAGTGCAAACGGACTAGCAGCGGAGTGACATGTGCTCGTTTAGGTTCATTGAAGACAACTCGTGCTGCTGCATTCTGGAGCAGTTGAAGAGGCTTGATAGAGTTAGCTGGAAGCCCAGCTAGTAGAGAGTTGCAGTAATCCAGTTTGGAGAGAACAAGAGCTTGAACAAGGAGTTGAGCTGCATGTTCAGATAAGAAGGGTCGGATCTTTCTGATGTTATAGAGTGCAAATCTGCACGATCGAGCAGTTCTAGAAATGTGGTCAGAGAAGTTTAGTTGGTCATCAATCGTTACTCCAAGGCTTTTCACCATTTTGGATGCAGTAATGGTTGCCCCATCCATCTGGATTGAAAAGTTATGGTGTAGAGTCGGGTTGGCAGAAACTACAAGCATTTCCGTTTTTGCTAGGTTCAGCTGAAGATGATGATCTTTCATCCAGTGTGAAATATCCAACAGGCAGGCTGAGATACGAGCTGGAACCGAGGGATCATCAGGATGAAAAGAGAGGTATAGCTGGGTATCATCAGCATAGCAGTGGTAGGAGAATCCATGTCTCTGGATGACTGGTCCTAGAGATGATGTGTAGATGGAGAAGAGAAGTGGCCCAAGAACAGAGCCTTGAGGTACCCCAGTGTTTAGATGCTGTAGGTTGGACACCTCTCCCCTCCAAGACACCCTGAATGACCTGTCAGAGAGGTAAGATCTGAACCATTGTATAACAGTGCCCGCAACGCCCAGTGACTCAAGCGTAGATAGCAGGATCTGGTGGTTGACAGTGTCAAAAGCAGCTGACAAGTCCAGCAAAATGAGAACTGATGATTTAGAGTCTGCTTTAGCCAGTCTGAGATCCTCCACGACCGAGAGCAGGGGAGTCTCAGTTGAGTGGCCTTTCTTAAAGCCGGATTGCTTGTTGTCCATGAGATTGTTTTGAGTAAGAAAGTCCAGGACTTGATTGAACACTACTTTCTCCAGAATCTTGGCCATGAATGGAAGCAGGGATACTGGTCTGTAGTTTTCAAGTAGCGTATGGTCCAGGTTGGGTTTCTTTAGCAGTGGGGTTACCCTAGCCTGCTTAAATGTAGTGGGGAATAAACCAGAGTCAAGAGATATGTTAATTATGTGAGTCAGTGTTGGTATGACTGCAGGAGAGATGGCTTGCAAGAGATGAGAGGGAATGGGATCGAGTGGACAGGTGGTTGCATGACAACAATTAAGTTGGCTAAAGAAAAACTTTTGTTGTGAAAGAATTGTGTTGTGTCCTTTCATTTAAGTAGCTTAAACAAGCAGCAAAAGTATATTTTTTGAGTGTATCATTGTCATTTAGCATAATGTAAAAATTGTCAATTCAAGTACAAAACTTATTCTGACCTAATGAAAAAGGCAATCACAGAAAAAATAAATTATTATGCACTCATTTTCTTTTTCAGCTTAGTCCAGAATGAATCGACAACTTATCTAGCACATGTTTTATGCAGAGGATGCCCTTCCTTCTGCAACACATCTCTGGGAAATATCCATACACACTCATTCACACTCATACACTACGGACAATTTAGCCTACCCAATTTACCTGTAATCTCTTTGGACTGTGGGGGAAACAGGAGCACCCGGAGAAAGCCCATGCGAATGCAGGAAGAACATGCAAACTCCACGCAGAAACGCCAACTGACCCAGACGAGGCTCAAACCAGCGACATTCTTGCTGTGAGGCGAAAGCACTACCTACTGCGCCACCGCGTCACCAAAAAGAATTATACTGTAATAATAAAAATTCTAATTCTGTGATACAACATTTTTATTATACAATTGTATTATACAAAATGTTGATGTTTGATTAGTAGAAAAAAGGGCGGAATGGTGGCTCAGTATTAGGACTGTTGCCTCACAGCCAGAAGGTCACCAGTTGGTGTCCAAAGGTACATGCGGTATAGGTGAATTGGGTAAACAAATTTGGCCGTAGTGTATGAGTGTGTGTGTGTGTGTGTGTGTGTGTGTGTGTGTGTGTGTGTGTGTGTGTGTGTGTGTGTGTGTGTGTGTATGAATGAGTGTGTATGGGTGTTTCCTAGTGGGTTCTGGCTGGAAGGGCATCCGCTGCGTAAAACATAATTAGCAGTTCATTTCACGGTGGCAACCTCTGAAATAGAGACTCATTTGAGTTCAGACTGCATGATTTTAGCTCTGATTTGGACTCACCAACAGGTTTTGAAAAAATTGCAGACTAATGCCTAAAAACACAGGCAACCGGTGTGAACTATGAAAGACCCAATCTGAGAGAATCGCAGATAAGTCGCCGACACCTGTCAGATATCTGCCGTGGTAAATATCTGGAGCTGTCAGCGGTTCAAAACATGCCGTGTGAAATGTGTTCTGATTAATAAATGACATTGGCGATCAGCTACAGCCAATGAGAGAGCAGCATTCACTAGTATGGGTCTCTGCATGCAAGCGAGAGGTTGGTGGAGAAATTAAATGCGCTTCTTTTCTGTTTATTTGGACCCAAGACATGGAGGAAAAATTAGTGGGAATTTGACAGGAGCACCCATGTCTTTTTGACGTGTCATCTGAGTAATATCAATCGGGTTTACAAAAAAATTAAGTTGAGGAGAAATTGCTTATTTCCTTCAAGGGCCAGGTGAGCAAAATATGTACATTTACTACCTCACTAATGGCTTCTTTCTCATTATGTAGTTAATAAAATATATACTGTGCAACCTCATGTTGTTTCCATGTAACTTCTCTCGTGTGTTTGGTTGTGAGGTGTAGTTTGCAGACTGAGACAAAGTTGTCTGTGAATCTTCCTATGGTAAAGTCATGCAGTGTGAAACCACCAACTGTCGCCGATACATCCTGCAGTGTAAACAGCACTGATGGAACACTAGCCCAGATAGTCATGCAGTGTGAAATCATCTGTGACACGACTACTTTAAAAATCATGCAGTCTGAACTCAGCATAAGCCAGAGGAAAATAAATCAATGAATAGTGGAAAAAAGTTTAAACTGACGAGTAATGTACTGTGATCTTTAAAAAGAGTTGTTTAATATTTCATCACATTCATTTACATCTAATTAAAATGCTTTTAAAACATTTGTAAAATATATTGTCATTAGTAAGTTATAACTATGCATTTGTTTTATATTTTTCTGATTTAAAAAGAAGTTTTTGGTTTTGACGTATGGAAACCTCTTTTCATAGTTCACCCATATTTAACATGTCTGGATTTCCAACATCTATTTTTGAATAAATAAATCCATTCATAAGAAAAAAAAAAGGCTCCTTCATCTATTCCTAAGCTCAGCCTCATGATTTTGTCCCCTATTATTCATCCGCCGTCTCGTTTGTTCTCCACAGAATGAATACTCGTGTCCCAGGCCATTACCTGGAGCTTGGATTGGAGACATCCCCACCATACACTAAAGGGAATGTTTTTTTGTCCCGCTAAATAATCCACCGGCGGAGGATTTGTGCCTACCTGCATTTCATCAGTGACATCAAGCTTTGTTCTCATTATAGCACTCACGCCATCTGCTTCTTTGATGGATTGCGGTGGATATTCCTCGAAATCTGCAAACAAACATCTGAGAGACAAACAGGACGGATGCCTCAGATGTGTATTTTACTAAAACACAATTGGATGCCTCACTTATGCTCCTGAATACACATGTCAGGTGGGTGTAGTTGATTCGGGACGGCTCCAATGGAAGATACCAATGAAAGTTATCCAGCCTTTGAAGAAGTGTGTGTGGACCTACACGTGAACAATGAACTTTGTTAATATTCCCTCTGATTTAAAACAGAACTTACCCTTTCCTTTGTTATTTAATGTAAATCATTGGAAGATTTGTGGATCGGAATAACACAGTTTAAAATATATATATAAATATAAGACTGAGTTAAAACCTTTATCTTTGCTGCCTAATACTGGATTTGTTAGGTTTTGTTTAAGTGGTTTCTGCAAATGTCTTTGTACAGTTTTATTTTGGGAGATTCTCAAGTTTACATGACCCTCACTCTCTTAAAAGTGAAGCTTTTGTTTATTATTGTTGGCATCAGTGGTTCTATGTTAAAGGATTAGTTCATCCTAAAATGAAAGATTTGGAAAAATCCAAACCCCTGAGATGTGTGCGAGTCTTTTAAAACGCAACAACAAAATATTTTAATAAATCCCAAGAGACTTTTATTCCTCCATTGAAACTCTGTTTTTCCAAAAGTTTTGAGTTTCGAGATATTCAGAAAAACAATGCGCAAGAGTAAACTGTATGAGTTTTCTTAGTGTTTAAAGGGATTGTTTATTCAAAAATTAAAACCCTTGACTATTTCCAAATCTTTAAGGCTTTTTTACTCTGTCGAACACATTATAAAATATTTTGAATAAATCCTGTAAACACTGGCACACATAGTATGTCAAAACCAAATAATGTTGAAGTCAATGGATACTGGTTTTCAGCTTTCCTAAAACTATCTTCTGTTTTATCCAACAGAATAAAAAAAAAAAAACACAAATGTTTGGAACATGTTAAGGGCGAGTAAATTAATAATCACAAAATATTTCTTTTTAGGTGAAATATGCCTTTATTTCCCCAATTTATGAAGAAACGTTGATGCTCTTCGTGTGCTTTAATGTTGTTTCTACTGACTAAATATTTCTGCGTTTGTGTGTGTGTGTGTGTGTGTGTGTGTGTGTGTGTGTGTGTGTGTGTGTGTGTGTGTGTGTGTGTGTGTGTGTGTGTGTGTGTGTGTGTGTGTGTGTAAATCAGTAATGCGCTTTTATGCACAACACTCATTTATTCATTATACACAACATTATTTTTTTTTTTATTATTCCAATCTGGAAATGCACATTTGTGCTATATTTAATAAACCAAGACCCTCACATCTGAATTATCATTTGCACTAGGGCTGCACGATATTGGAAAAATCTGATATTGTGATTTTTATTGTTCTGTGTTAAATATTGTGATTTGAATACAGATAAACAAGATAGTTGAATAGCACTATTTGACAGTTTTCTGGTGTCAAACAGTATTCCGGAAGAGAAATTTAGTAAATCATAATACAAAATGCTTGTATACGGTTGGAACGCTGCTTTTCTTACTTTGATTGTCTCGTTGCTAAACCAAATCCAAAAAAACTCTTAGATAAAGTAAATATATTGTTTTGTTTCCAACTTCAGAAGGTATACGTCTAAATTAACAGTTTTTTCCTTAAAAGAAGTTTTCATTTCCCAAATGATGTTTAACAGAGCAAGGACATTTTCACAGTGTGTCTGATAATATGTTTTCTTCTGGAGAAAGTCATTTGTTTTATTTTGGCTGGAATAGAAGTAGTTTTAAATTTTTTAAAAGCCTTTTTAAGGTTAAATTATTAGCTCCTTTAAGCTATTTTTGTTTGTGGTAGTCTACCGAACAAACCATCATTATACAATAACTTGCCTAATTACCTAACCTGCCTTGATAACCTAATTAGTTAAGCCTTTAAATGTCACTTTAAGCTGTATAGAAGTGTCTTGAAAAATATCTAGTAAAATATTATTTTCTGCCATTATGGCAAAGATAAAATAAAACAGTTATTAGAAATAAGTCAATAAAATTTATATGTTTAGAAATGTGCTGAAAAAAACTTCTCTACGTTAAACAGAAATTGGAGAAAAAATAAAAAGGGGGCTAATAATTCAGGGGCGCTTATAATTCTGACTTCAACTTTAAATGATGTAAATTAAATACAATTCTGTAGCTCCAGGTCAGCTATAATTCAGACTCAATATTGCATATCTTGTGATATGATTATTGCAGATGCGCACATTGCGATATCGATGATAAAACGAGATATTGTGCAGCCCTAGTTTGCGCATATGCAAATATACTTTGGTCCATTTGCAGAGGTCATGGATTAAATGTAAACGTTTTGTAAGTAATCTTCTGTTTCTTGCACAGACCAATTGTTTTGCTTCAAAAGACCTCAATGTGTCACGGGTATTCATTTTCAGCTGTATACTTTGTTTACTGTCATTTCATGAAACACCAAGGATTATAGTTTCAGCTAAAATCTTCTTCGGTGATGGTCTGGTGAAAAATAGTCACATTATATCTTAACCCTTACATACTGTTGTGGATGTTTTCATCCACACTGAGGTGAATTTGAGTCTTAATTTGGCCATAACTGTAACTGTTTCAGCTAGAGGCATGATTTTTGGTGACAAATGTTATATTGGCACATAATGGGAAAATGCTTTGATTAAAAAAATATATATATAAATAAATAAATAAAAAAACTCAATGATACACTCTGGGCCAATGTACTACCTTTTGATATGTTCAGAATGAAAACATCTATACAGCTGTATAAATGCATCAGATATCTTTTTTTTTTTTTTTTTTTTTTTTGCATAAATCTGTTAACCTCAAACTCAGTCCTGATCAACTAAAATGCTCAGAAAGTTACAGTATTTTTACTCTTTAATTGCTATTAAATGATGTCACTGATTTGGTGAAAAAACACACACAAAATTACTTATATTCAATATAAAAGCTAATTGTGTCCTGCATTCTTATCACAGTCTTGGACATGTGAAACAACATTGGCATTGATGCATTGTTTTTCATTGATTTTCATTTTTTCTTTCTAATTTACTGTTGGTGGCTGTTTTTGCCAAATTGACTTCTATTATAACCACATTATTTTGATAGTAAAGCCAATAACACTATGTAATTTTTGATTGTTGGTGGTTGTCCCTGATGGTAAAAAGGTAAAATTAGTCATTTTTACTGTTGATCATGGAGTATACAAGCAAACTAAAGTGTGTGAGAGTGACCTTTGTACACTTATCGTGATTTGTCTGAGAAAATCGAAATATGCGTCTCAGCTCTCAGAAATACACGGAGAAAATAAAAACAAAGACTGTGTATTTATGCACCATCAAATGTGTTTATAATAAAGGTCAATGGGACAAAAACAGACACCAACAGTAAAATAGGTAAAAAAAATATATTGTTGTAACTAATCATTCGTATATGTCCAAGACTGTCATAGAAGGTATAAACAAATCCAGTCCACAATTACTTTTTACATTAAATACAAATTTAAAAGTTGAAATCCTGTATTTTTTTAAAGATTTAGAAGTTTTGATCAGAACTGAGGTTGATTAAATTATAAAAATATTTATCTGATGCATTTTTAATTGAGTAGATGATTCCATCTCGAACATAACAAAATGGTAGTACATTTGAACAGTGCACAAGAATTTAATGACCTGAAATTAACAGCAAGTTTTCACTTTTGGGTGATCTAACACTTTGGTAACCTTTAACATCAGTAGAATTTTACCATCATTTTTCATTAGTTTTTTACTTTAAAAAAAAATAAAACTTTTAAAAGATTCTTTGGAGGACCCTAAGAGTTCTAAGACATTGCCATGAGGGAAAAAAACCTCTTGAATCATTCGTTTTTAGAGTGATAACAGTAACAGACTTCCTGAAACATGACCTCTGCTCTTATTGACTATGCCAACACTGACTCAATGTTTGTAATGTGTGAGTTTAGATTTGATAAAATAGTGTGTAAGCAAATGTCAACATGTTAAAATACCCTTGTACCATACGATTTGTGTTTAGTGCCGCTAGCGGTGCATACATCATACACTTCACCTTCAGAAATCTGTGTGTATCAGAGAAGAATCATGGAGACTGTGTGTGTGTGTGTGTGTGTGTGTGTGTGTGTGTGTGTGTGTGTGTGTGTGTGTGTGTGTGTGTGTGTGTATTGGGTATTGATCTGTTCAGGTTTCACCTGCCCCTCGATCTTGAAATATGTCATTTAAAAGTGTCATTTATTTATACTGTATGCCCCACACACACACACAATTTAATTTAATAATTGAATTTTGTAACGAACTGTATGAATTGTACACCACCAAGTTCTGTTTTATAATGAGAACATTGTCAAAATCAATGGTGAGAAATATACCGTGCTCAAATGGAAATGAGTATTGATCAACTTATTACATTTTTTATGAATTTATTATGATGTTATTTAACTATATTGATTTTCCAGAAGAAAATGGCAAAAAGTACTGGGAACCAATCATTTGTTTAACATGTCAAGTAGCTCTTTTGTGCATGGAAATTTGAATGAAACAGCTGTAATTAGGTATAAATCTTTTATTCTCACCATTTTCTTATGCTTTTTTTCCTGAAAATGGTTATGCAGCTTCACGTTTTTGTGAAAAACAAGTGTATGATGGTTTTCAAAAATACATGAAGCAGTGCATTTGGAAAGTCCAACTTTGCCATAAATTTTAAAAGTATATTTAAACAAAATTGTAATAATTAATTTTACAATATTACTGTTTTTTTTTTTTTTTTACTTGGTTTTTAATTGAATAAATGGATCCTTGGTGAGCATACAATTCACCAAGGTCTTCAAATCTTAAATATTGTAACTTTTAACTTGTGTAATGTTAACATATTTAGTTTAATTATTAAATATTTATAATGAGTTTGACAAATATAACCTTTAGAAATCTTGAGTCTCAAACTTTGCCATTTGCTATTGTGTGACTAAAAGGGCTGCTCACATTGACCATGATTTGCAGTGACACAATCACCGGAAGTCATTCATTCTCAATGAGAATTAGCAAATTCTGTTAACATGGGTGACAACAAAGTTGACATATTTTGTTTCTCTTTGGCCAAATGCACACCACCAGCAGCCTCATCTACTAGAGACCAAACTTTATCAATTAAAATCTCTGTCATTGTGACCGGATAACAAGTTACATAGCAAAACAAAGTTCAAGCTACTCGCCTATACCCACAT